CGCTCACGCTGCAACGGGGAGGGGTTACATTCTCGCCCACTTCCTTGAGTGAGCCATTTACGCGAGGCCTCCGTTTTAGCCCTGGCCAGGCATGAGCGACAGACCAGGAAATCACCGACGCACCAGAATACATGCTCCTGGAAACGGAGGAGGGGGGGCGCGCGGAGGAACGGTGGCCTAGGGATGCCCATCTCCTGAAGGGCCTCCAGCTGTCCACCCACGACCTCCTTATGCGCAGCATGCTGGGCAGCAGCCCATCCGAAAATCTGGCGTTGTTTCTGCCAATAGCAAGCTGATCAGACCAGTAATCCACGAAGGAGTCAGCGACCTTATGCGAGCAGGCCCCCAACTTGGCGAAAAAAACCGCCCACATGTTGCCAAACCACCAAGACACTGGCCATTGCCCCCGCTCGAGAAACTCCTCAAGAGAGAGATGAGCAGGCACCCATTCATACATGGGAGCCTTCGAATTTTCCCTTCCCTGAGCGACTCTAAAAATTTGCCTCCACATGTCAGCATGGGCGGCCGTGGCAGACGCATGCTCAGAAGACCATTCAACCCCCTCCCGCACAGCCCCAAGGAGGTCCGAGACAGACAGCACTAAACGCGGCAACAACTGGAGCCCCCGCAAGAGCGCGTATCTTTCAGCTCGGCCAACCGACTGGATGGGGCCTGGGAGCGGACCATAGGCCGCACGAACAGGGAGTCCAAACTCTCCCATCTGAACAGCCGACCATCCGCAACGCCTGAATTCTGGCCAGGCGCTGTGCATCCAAGAGCCATCAAAGAAGGCAGTTGGGCCCCATCCCTCAGGCTGCGACCCCCAGTCCCCCCAGAAGAAGGTGGGAGGCTCAGAGGACGGAGGGGGGAGATCAGGAGGAGCCTGGGGGAGCCCAATACAAAACTTCAGCAGGTGAAAGCTGTCCTGTCCCAAGACATCGACTCCCTCCTCAGACAGACGATCACGCGTTTTTTTCCAACTCCTCAGACCAGGCTGGCAGACCGCCAGCGTCATTCTGCTCCAGCAAATTCGGGCATGCGTACCACAGATGACCAAGGTCCCCGACAGCACCTTGTCTGCGACATTCGGGATGCGGGCAGTGTGGCGTAGGCAACCATCCACGTTGATGTCGTTTCTGCACCGTCATGAATCCACCAGCCCACAGGCAACGGAGAGCACCCGCCACCTGTGCGTTCTTGATAGTGGCTGCCTTACCACCGACGGTGAGGTGCACCGCTCCCATCCACAGCGACTCGCCACCCTCCAAGTGTTCGGCATGATGCTCCAGAATCCTCCGACCTTGCCACCGTTGAACTCCGAGACGCAACAACTTACGAACATCTTTGGGAGGCGTCTTTAACAGCGAAATCACCATGCCCGTGTCACTGACAATCAACGTGCTACTAGCCATCTCCCAGCCTACTCTTCGCAAAGACAGCCAGGTCGCCGCAATCGGTCCTCGAACCCCCTGCCAGCCTGGAGCACGCCCATGCCACAAGTCTAGGAGTACACGCCATGCCCTCTCGAGCTTGCCCATGTCCATCCACATGTCGAACACGAAACAACTGCACGTATACACCATATTGAGCGTCGCGTCGAAGATCGGGTCCATGTACGGGCCCCGCTGAGACACAGGGTAGGCCGTGACGCTGACCCCTTTGGCGTGAACCCCAGCGATGACTCCAGCCGTCTGCCTGAGCTGCCTCAGGTCGCCGTCGGGAACGCCCGAGACCGAGCTGCCGTGTGCAGCTCCTGCCAGCAACCCAGTACGCCAGATGGCCCCCACTTTGGAACCAGCAGTCTTTCGGAGCAACTTGACACGCCCCATTCGTTTCTGCATCTTCTCCAGGCGTCCCTTCGCAACCGTGCGAATCATACGGCCACCAACCATATCATGCCCCAAGTTACGCACCTGCTTCCTCTGGGTGAGCCTCAGCACCTTGGCCCACGGAGAAAACTTCTTGAGCGCCTCGCGGGTGGTGCCCACATAGCCCGACTTTACGGGCTGAACCAGCAGTCCTAGCCTTCTCATACCACTCTTGAACAAGCGAGTAGCCTTGACCAGCTCACCCATTTCTTGCAAGTCCTGCCTGCCCCACCCACTGCAGGGTTCCATCGTCCACTAGAGCACGAGGGTGGATCGTCGGACAAATCTCCTTCACACTGATCAACGTACGAATCATCAACACCGTCAGCAAGGTCGTGGCGTGTGTGCATCCAGGCAGGATACCTTGCCCCACCTCGTGTAAGACAGACACCGACCCAAACGCCTTCACCGCCCGAGGCATCTTGTAAGAAGCCACCAACTGCCACAGAAGTCGCAAAGGGTATCCGACTTCCCGAGCTTCACAAAAAAAGACTGCTGACCTTGACCGTGTCGAAACACTTCCACATGTCCATCATCACCGTGAGCGAGTGCTCGCCCAGCAGCTTAGACATCTCCGCCATCGCGTTGTGCATGAAGGCCGATCCCGACGACGAGTACCCCTTCCTGTTGCCCCAGATCATCTCCGAGGGGAACTGCTGCAACCATTGCCGTGAAAGCGGTCGTCGGACTCCCGCCCAGACCCGTATCAGCGTGTGAATGAGAGCCACCAATCGAGTACCTCCTCCTTCCTTTGGGACCATAGCCATCTCGGAGTGGATCCGATTCACTGGCCTGAGAAGCAAATCCTCGCACTTCATGAAAAAAGCCGCTATGGCCCCCAAAGCATCGCGCGACAAGAACCACAGCGATCTGGGCTGCAGCTTCGACGGGCCCGCTGCCGTCTTCCACTTGAACGATAAGATAGCCTGCACCAACATATCCGTGGTGATGTAAGGCAGAGAAGGCCAACTGGCACTATCAGTCGGCAACTGCATCTCGCAATCCTCATGCACCGTCCATACCTTTAACCACTTTCGCATTTCACGATCAGCCAGCTCGTGCGGTGACTGCTCACTGCCTGCCTCGATGATCTCCTGGGCTGCCTGTAACCTAGTAAAACGATGCGCACCACTTGCACCTTTCTCAAATGCTGAATCCACGAACTTCTTCCATCGGGCCCGATCACGCATCTCATGAGCGGACAGCAGGCGATCATGAGTACCTTGGGTATTGGCCGACATCTGGTCAAAATCATCACGCGCCAACAGATTAAAGCAAGATGACGGCAAAAAGAATTCAGAAACCCATGCAGGTAGAGCTTGCAAAGTGCCATCACAACCCCGAACACCATGCATAAACCGAGCGAATTCCACCAGCACCTTCGCCAGCGCGGAGTGATCAGCCAGCGCGTTCACAATTCTGATCCCGTCCTGCCAAATGAGAAGCTTGTCTACCAACCTGGCGACGTGCTCCTTTACCCTCCTGCAATGGACAACCCACTTTAGAGCAACCATCCAAGCCCTTAGCTCAGGGCCATGCTGCAACCGTCGAAGAGGAGGTCGCCACTTGGCCAGTGCCATCTTGGTAAGTAGAGGGCCACCACGTCCAGACGTCGCCGAAGCCTTCACTCCATCTAAGCAACCATAGACGCCCTGCAATTCAAATTCCATGCCCGCCAGCAGCTCGTCCCAAGCCAAGCTCAAGTCTTCGCTGGTTTGAGCATAGAAAACCTGCCGTTCAACCCTACCCCAATCCAATGGAAATCTCTCACACCCAATAGGCGGCGTCTTTGAAAAGGGAGCTGGCTCCACAACCTGTCGAACCCATGCTGGCCTGTCCTCAGCTAACACGGGCAACTCCACAGGTAAATGAACTGTGATACAACTGTCGTCCACCACCTGAGGCCGTAGGACACGAGTACCCAAGTTGGCACAAACCAGAGCGTAATCAATGATACTGCCAGGCTGCTCCAACAAACATGTGGACCTCGAAGGCGCTGCAACAAAGCCACTCACGCCTGCCAACCATCCTGCAGAAAACAAATCAGGCCGCGAGGTTCCAATCTCCCATGACAATCCAATCGCGCCCTATCGCATTCAAAACTGCAAGGTACCTCGCAATCTTCAAGATTAATGCCTCATTTGCTGCACTCATTCCCTCACCAGAGATAAGATACACAGCAATAATAACTACCCCTCCTGGTACCATCCAGGAGACATCAGCAGCAGCAATACGACCAGGCTCCAACTCATGCCCAGGGAGCTCAGGAGGCGCCTTCACCACGATATGCGTCGGAGCCAGGATGGCTACTCCGCCAGAACGCCCCGTAGCGCCTGTCTCCACAGCACCACCAAAGTACCCATGGAAGCCCAGATCACGAATATGAGCCTGCAACGATGGGAGATGCTTGTCTAACGTGCGATGCTCCTGAATCACCACGATCTTGGACCTGCACGTCTCCATGAACAATTTGAGAGGTCCTGCACCCTCCACATTGGCAGACGTGATCACTCCCTTCAACTTGAGGTCAGTATAAGGCTGCTGACCAGACTCCAGAGCAGAGCTGGCCCCAGTAGTCCCACACTTGGTCGAAGAAGAGGTCAACGCCGCCGTCGGACTCTCGGTGATACCGAAGAACTCATCCTGGTCGAAGCCCACGTCGTCTGACTGCTGAAAATCCCGCTGGCAATCATCAGCATCCAAACTGGAGTCCGCCACAACCTGCTGCTGCGGCAAAGCGTACAAAGGAACACCATTCCGCGGCATCTCAATAAGGTGCACGCACGACTGCCAGCCGCTGTCCACTTTGATTGAAGAGAGGCATAGCCGCCAAACGAGCAGCAGCCGCCCGAAGGCCCTCAAGGTCCTTGGGAACATGCTCCGCCAACTCGGATGGGTAAAGCGCCTCCAACGACTCCCGCAGCTCCTCTTCCTTGGCATCTGCGATGACCTGGTCCAAATACTTGGGCTTGGCGCCTCCTGCTGCTGCAGCGGCGGGCACTCCGCCCCCTGCCTCAGCACTCGGCGTGCCAGGCGATGGACCGCCTGCTTCGCCCATCGGCGTGCGAGGAGCGTGGAGCGACAGTGCAGCCTGTCCGTCTCGCTTCGACTCGTCAGCCTCGTGCCTGACCCAGAGCTTACACATACTGACCGCAAGCACCTGCGCCAAGCCCTCCGCCTGCTCGGAGCCGAGACCCTGCGCCTCAAGCATCTTGCCCAAGGCACCAACGTCCATGGCCATGCCCTTGCCCTTCTCCTCGAGTGATGCCGACTCAGGAGCCATTGGCGCCTGCTTCGTGAGCTCCTGCACCTGCGCGCTGAGCGACACCACCTCCTTCTCCTGCTCCGTGAGATTCTTCTCGGCCTGCTCCAGACTCTTCTGCATCTCACCAAGTTGGTATTTCCTCTCAGCCACCAACTCTCTCGACGCTTCCGCCCTCTTTTCCGCCGTCTTAAGCCGATTGGACATGGTCTGCAACTTCGCATACATGGGGCGAGACTCCTGAAGCGTGCTGTGCAAACGCTCCTTCTCGACCCGTAACGACTCCACATATGCGCCCGCCTTGGACTCATTGCTATACTTGGACACAAACGCCAGCTGCTCATCGATCTCCTTGAGCCTTCTGCGAATGTCAGCCTCATCATCCTTTTCGCCAGCGTCGACTTGCATGTGGTCCCCGAGGAGCCCACGTTTAGACTCAGCCTGAAGCTCCTTGATCTTCGCCTCCAGCTCACGGATCCTCGCCTGCCCTGCTGCCTCAGCGGACGGGTACTTCCACGGCGGCATCTTGGACTTGGCGCGGACTGAAGGCTCCGCGGGCTGAACGTTGCCCCCGAACGTGACTCCTTTCGCCAAGCCGCATAGCACACACTTCTTCGCATGCGCCATGTTCCACCACTGCTTACCCGTGCGATCATTCTTGCAACTCTTGCAATACCACCTGCACGCTGAGTCCTCGCGCGGTCCCATCGAAGCGACGTTGTGGGCCCACGAGAACACCTGCTCACCTGCGGGGCCGCAGGAGGCAGCCGAACGGCTGGGGCGGACCAACCGTCGGAAAGAAAGCTTGAATCTTCTGGCCGCGGTAACAGCGGTATCCGTGCGAGCCTGGAGGCGAGAGGCCTCCCAAGCATTTAGTCTTGAGCCAAAATGGCTACGGAACGGGGGAGAGGGAGGAGGAGGAGGAGGAGGGGGAGGAGAGGGAGCGGAGGAGAGGGAGGAGGAGGAGGAGGAGGGGGGAGTGGAAGGGGGGAGAGAGAGAGAGAGAGGGAGAGACAGAGAGGAGCAACACAGCATGAGAAACAGATCCTGGCGAAGGGCCCAGCCACATCCTGCGCCTGCCGGTCCTGCCCCTGCTCAGCTGCAGCCCCATGGCTTTGGGGCTGGCAGCGTTGCTGGTTCAGAGGTCTCGGGTCATACTCTCGGCCCTGGTGATCTGGCCTCCGAGGTCTCTGGCACTCTCCGTGCGGCTTCGCGGACGACATCGGCAGGGGGGTATCCCAACACAGCCCCTGGCAAGGGTGGGAAGTCTGGCGGAAAAGGGGAAGGATTACCTCGCCGCTTCCACTTTCGCACTGCAACGCATGAGTCTCTGCATCTTGGCTTGGTGGAGCTGTTGCCGACGACATGTTTGCTCTTCTGTGTTTATGCAGCATAAACTTCGCGGAGAACTTCGCGACACCTCGTGCGAGTTCTTGGCCATCTTCTGATATCGTGCTTCCAGATATCGCAGACGTTTGCAATCTCGGACTCCGACGTGGAGCTTTACTGTGGCAGGCTCGTCCAGCGCTCCCGGCATCGACCTGGCGCTACCCCTTATGAGCCCAATGTAGCACTGAGGCAGGCTTAGCCAACCCCAATTTCTTGTCACTGGCTGGGCAGCCCCCAGTCTTTCTCACTACATGCAGTTGTGAATGCTGCGTCTGTTTAACTGTTTTCGGCGGAACTCCCTATGGGGCCACAAAGAGTGCGAGGTGTGTTCTGTAATGTTGGCGTTATGCCGACATTGGGCACGGAGACGCATGTGGACCCTGCCACTGGGGCCTTCGGTGGAGCTCCCTATGTTCCATGAAACGCTGTACTGGGTTGCGGAGACGCATGTGAACCCTGCCACTGGGGCCTTCGGTTGAGCTCCCTATGGGCCACGAAACGCTGTACTGGGTGGCGGAGAGCAGAAATAAGGAGAGAGAGGAGGGGGAGGTGGGGGAGGAGTGAGGAGGAGGCGCGCTGTCTCTTCAAAAAGAGGACCCAGCACCACAGGATGGCTGGAACAAAACCCATCAAAATGCAATCCCTCTTGCCACCGCCCCCGTCTCTTGCGGTTGCCTCCTGTCCATGTTCCCCCCTGGTGCGTAGCCTTGATCAGGTGGTACGATGTGGTCGCGTGGTTATGCTTGTTGTTGCACAAGGACTTCACCGCGTACTCCCTGGGAGACGGAGGAGCAGCATGAGCACGAGCAGGAGGAGCAGGAGAAGGGCAAGCGACCGCCCCCATGAGGCAGGGGAAGGGGGAGGAGGAGGAGGATGAGGAGGAGGAGCAGGAGGAGGAGGAGGAGGAGGAGGAGGAGGGGGAGGTGGAGGAGGAGGAGGAGGAGAGGAGGAGGAGATGAGGAGGAGGAGGAGGAGGAGGAG